TTTACATTAACAATTACGAACTTTACTCTGATTGGATATTACAAATCACTATGTAAATAGTTCACCCCTGAACTGAAAACAATACCGTTTCGTTTCTGAAGAAGCGAAACAAGAAACAATGACTACTGACTTAAAAACAACCTATAATGCTGAGAAAAACACCTCAGATGTTGAAAAAAAATCAAGAATAGTCATAAACAGAACTTCGAAGATGACGCAAACAACATGCAATTGGACAAAGAGGATACTCAACGAAGCAAAATGAATAGTAAATATCTAAGCGAAACTCTTGTGTTAAAACATCCTGATTCTTTTATTTACTCTTATTGTTTTCAATAAAGTTACTTGTAAAGTACGATTTGATATTGCGATACGAAGCCCGAGTAAACGCTCGTCTAGTTTTGAATTTTAACTTCAGGCGGCGTCCAGTACTTTAGGTAACGATTTGACTTGGCAAACGTGGCAATCTTGGGCAACGTTTGTAAAAGAAATGACAATCTAAATTAGTAAAAAATAGGGGCGTTATACGTCTCAGACGCATAATATGTCCAAAAAGTGAACTGATCAGGGCTATGGCCGGCTATAGCTCTGCTCGTGTGTTATTAGTCTTGGTACACTTTTTAGCCTCCCTTCGGAAACATCAGCGTAAAACGATCAAAATCCGGAAATTTTGGGGAATATTATTTTTTTCAGTGGAAAAGATCGCTGTTTTAATTTGTTTAGCCGGAAGGAGATTCCAGCTCTAGTAGATGCTCTGCATATAATTTCCGACAATATGCTGTTCGACATGATCTACTTCGGCATCGCATTGGAGGTTACTATACTTATAGCGGCCCGAAATTTTGCACGGCCCAGTCCTCTCACATTAGCTTGAGCTCTCAAAACATAAGGTTTGTGGGCTTTCATGCTTCTTGTACTTAGCTAGACGCGTCAGGTTGGACGTATTGCACCTCTTCTTACAGCCATTTTCTATCTGCTTGTTACTAACGATGTTTACCTTACAAATCCAGGTACTAGGTGAAACTGAGCACATGTTAGTCTCCCGGGGGGGACTTGTATATGAAGGGAGTGTGGATGCTCGTCGTCTCGCTTAGGGATGTAAATTTCGCATTTTGGCCTCACTTAGGGTGTTCTGAACAAAACGCCATCAAATGTAGCCCATATGTAGCCATGAAGATCTCGTTTAGGGTTTCTTGCGAAGAAATATAAAAACATATATTTATATGTTTTAAATATGGTCTCTTTTAGGGGTCAAAAATCCTGGGCCACGCCATGATTGGGGGTTTATTCAAAATTTCCGACGAGCATCCCCACCCTTTCATATGCGAAGTCCTCCCCTCCCGGGATTAGTCTTTAGATAACCGAGACATTACATAGTTGCGAATTGCTTCGAGACCTTCGAGCTTACTGAATACATATATCTTATCAGATGTTTTGGTGTGTAGTATCCCTGTATATTTTTACGAGTTGTGCCGTATTTTGACGAGCCCGTAGGGCGAGTCAAAATACAAACACCGAGTAAATATAAAGCGATACTAAACACCAAAACATCTAATAAGAAATTTTTTATCCAACTGCTGTAGTCAATAAATTTATCAGTGAAAGAGGGAGAGTGTGACAGTGTTGCGTGCGCGCCGACCTGTTCGGCAAACAGGTTTTCTACTGTACAAATAACTGTACAATATCGCTGTATATTTGTACTGATATTTGGACGGTATTCGATCGCTGCAGTTGGATAACAAAGCCAAATACCATCACACGGTCTCTTCAGTGACTGACCTTTTACAGCCTATTGCTGATGGGCATGCGACTTCGATAACTTTCAAACACCGTATCGGAATCGCCTACAGCCGCTAACGTTCATCTTCTCTTCTATTAAAATAAAACTACGTGCGGTCACCAAAAAATGGGGAGCATGAAGTATATGCCGGGCCGAGTAGCGTCAAATGACTTACTGACGACATTAACGAATTTCCAAACTCCAGCGAGATTATTCCGTACAAGCTCGTACAGAACGTTTTAGCCTATGCGTAGGCGTTCAAAGGGGAAGAAGATGGAAAAACTAGGAGCGCGTGAACGGTTGTCACTAGCAAGCTAAAAAAAGTCCTAAACAAACACGCACAGATATATCGGTAAGGTGATACATAATTTTTTTTTCTTTTTAAGGAGAAGACTACTGAGTAATGCCGACTACAAATGTCAGTTGTCTGTAAAATTTTAGGCTATTTGTCAGTTGTCAGTTACAATTTTCACCTTTGGTCAGTTGTCAGTTAAACTAATCCCAGAATCCGACCCCTGGGGCCCGTTTCTCGAAAGCCCCGGAAACTTTTCGGGCCCGGAAGGCCAGAGCAAAATCTTGAACCCTACCATTACAGAGCTGTTTTATTCATATATTTTTAATATGAACAGAGGTTCCCTTCATACAAGAAGTTTCAGGCGTATACACTTCTCCGTTTTAGATGCAGATGAACTAAAAATCGCTTTACGGGTCCGAAATGTTTCCGGCGCTTTCGAGAAACGGGCCCCCGGGCGTTACTAATCAATACTTTTCTTAAACCTGCCACGCAGACGTGCGCATTTCTGGCTAGTCGCGCAATCTTTTCCCCCGCGAAGAATACGTGACAAACCCAAAAACCGTTTGCTTCAACCTCGTTCCCAGGGTCTCTCATCTTACCGCTCCCTAAGATGAGAGACCCTGGGAACGAGGTTGCGTTTGCTTATCTGACGGCAGAGAAAATAATGACATAGAAAATACAAAAATTTAAATGAGACGAAATAAACTAAAATTTAAACAAGTGTATCAGCCCACCATCCTCCGGTTAATAAAACTGCAGCCGAAAGTCCAGCGTGCAACGGCGAAAATTGTCAAAAGGAAAGAAGCACTTTTGCACAAAGCCAGTGTGGTGCAGTAATTTCTCCTGTAAATTCCGCACAGTATCCAATAAACTCACAAAAGTCTTAAACCCAAAATTCTTGAATATTATGCACCCTTTGCTGTCGTTCCGCGTGACCACGCTTGCGTGACCAGCACGTGTAACGTGATAATGATGCTGTCGAACTCCGGCCAGGGGTTGTTTCAATTCAGTGCACGTAGGTGTGTAAAAATCATTCGGGAGTGAAACTATCGTTTGTCTACGTAGTCACAAGAGTAATCAGGTGTCGTTTCGATTACCCAATGGCAGAAACTAAAGGAATGGCAATGCTTGCAGTTGTGCACTTGATTCTCTACGCAGGTAAGAAGCATGAATTGAGTCGAATAGCTTCCGTGAAGTAAACAGCAACAACGATTCGTGTGCTAATTTCAGTTTTCCGGTTTCGGTTTGAGCGCCAGCACAAACAGGAACGATCAGAAGATATGTTTAACTCAGTAACACTTCTGGAGTGCGTGAAAATTAAGCGATGTTTACTTCGTTTGAGTCATCATCTACTAAACAGAGCAGTGCTTTCATATATCAGCGAAGAAATATATTTTAACATTCGTTTTGATAACTTGAAATCTAACCTTTGGAACATTGTTCCGTGCTTTACCGTGTAGTATCCACTTTCATATCCCGTCCGCTATGATAATGTACTGTATACTGCACACTGCGGGTGAAAGAGCGATCTCGGAAGCGAAATTCACGTGTTGTATTTGCCATTATGTTAATTTAATCCCTTGAACAGCAGCTGCAACATATGAATCGTTTCTTCTTGCGCCACATGTTTTTGTCAGCTACTTCTCAGAAAAAATCAGGTGTTTTTTTTGCTTCTCCCGAGCCAGGCCGGGGGTGAAGCACAATTGGCAAATGCAATTGCGAAACGAAATGTAACAGTATCGTGTTGATTACAGCGACTAATTATGTATTTTATTGCATGAATTATGTGGTCCCAGACGTGTCCAACGTCTGCGCAAGCTGCAATGATTATTCATTATTTGAGTGAGCTATTCAGTTCTACTGAGTTCTAGAAGCTGATCTCACTTACTCTTCAATTCTGTCACAGACTTGATTCGCGGTGAAGTACTTATTTTCTACAAACTATGAATACATGTGTACGACATTGGTTTTCTTAGTTCAGCTTACTTGAGCTTTCGAAAGTCCAATATCTCAACATAAACATTCTCTCTCGCCAAATGAACGGCATAAGCGCTAAACTAAGAAAACATGTCTCAACATATCCGCTTTGGATGAGGCTGAGCTTCATTAATAACATACTCCTAGTTGGTCTTAGTTACATCACCGAATTTAGCCAGTTTTTACAGAGTCAAAAGCCTATTAATCGTTGCCGTGCATTCCTGTTTTTATGTTATTACTTAGTGTAAGTACATCATATTAAGGTGCACAACATCTCATTACTTTCGTATCAGTCTTTAAAAACTAATTAATCACGTACATAGATTAAGGCCAATGAAGCAAAGGAACCATTTCAAAGACAACGAAAATTAGTAATTTGCCGCAACAGAAAATGAAAATGAGAAAATATGCAGCCAGACTGTTCATAGACGAGCTATTTTCTTAGTAAATTGTACTCAAGGCGACAAGTGTTTCCTGTGTTCGCGTCTCGTCAGCAATTATCATTTCAGTATGTAAGCAAACCCAACCAAGCCTGCTGCAAGCCAGATCCCTATTGGCCGGCGTTTTAATTAAACACCTTTGGTGTTCCTTGGCGTCACCGTTAACTTATTTCCATTTTTAATCGGTCTCGTTTTTGTTTTGTTTTATCAATACGTTGCTTTGTTTTCTAGCTGGTAAATTTCTGTTTGTGTTTTACATTTCCCTGGAATGAAGGTACAATGGAATCCTTATTAGTTAATTCCTTGAACCGTCTATTTCTGAAACCTTCACGATAACCAGCGAACAAAAAGTCATTTCTTTGCGATTTGTTTCACGGTTATTTTACTCCAGACATTTCGAACTCCCGACTCGAACTAATTTTCGTTTTCCTTAGAATTCAAAAATTCTGAATTCCATTGTAATCGCGCACAGCACAAACAAATTGAGATTTACGTAGATTCTGTAATTAAGCCGATATGCAACGTTATGATGCACAGCTCTTGTCTTTTAGACGCTAAACTTGGTAAGGCCCCCAGGGTTTGTAGATTAGAAGGTATTCTGTGAAGTGGTTGATACAATAGAATTCCATGGCGTGTTAATAACAACATGACTATAGCTTTATGGTTTTTCTACGATGCATGGTGGGAGAAAACATCTGCGACTTGCCCACGCAAATCACACCTGCTTGATTGGATGTTCAACCTTTATGCACACCAGTGATCTGTGTTCTTTTCATAAGCAACTTTGGTTGTTTGCACTTATTATTTCGTTTCATTCATTCAGGTTTTGTCACCTCGTCTTCTGACAAGAATACCTTACATGCCATTTTCAGCATGGGTGGAATTAAGGGTGACGTGGTCTTTTCCCAGCCCCAAGCCAATGGTCCTACAACTATCATGGTCAACTTAACAGGCGTCAACGAGACACTGACATGGAACATTCATCAACTGCCCATGATCTACGATGGTAATGCAGCTATGAGCTGCGACGTAGGAGCTCTCTTTGATCCCAAAATGGCTAAGGAATCTCCAGACTACAATGCCAACTGCCTTTTTTCCCGTCCTGAAAAATTTGACTCATGCGCAGTTGGAGACTTGGCGAAAATGCTTGGCAACCTGACTGGAAACAGCGCTCAGCAAAATTATACAAATCCGCAATTGATGATTCCGATCACAGGCCCATACAGCATCATGGGGAGGACACTAGTCCTGTATAGTGGCACCACAGCCAAGGCATGCGCACTGATTACTCCGGCCCAGTCCATGGAAACAGCCGTCGCTGTTTTCAAATTTCCAGTTGCGGGCTTCGTTTATTTGAGACAAGTTGACGAGAACTCAGACACCTCTGTTTTTGTTGATCTTTTTTTCGTCAACAATGCGGAGTCAACACATGAGTTTAGCTGGCAGATTAATCAGGGCGTGGTTAGTGATGATTCCTCTGATCCATCTTTGTATTGCAAGAACGTCGGTGAAATGTTTAACCCAAAGGGCATTAAAGATGAAAACTGTAACCAGACAATGCATGACAATTGTGCCATTGGCGATCTCACATCCAAACATGGCAACGTCTCTGTCTCTGTGGCAACTGCTATGCAATCATCAACAAAAGCGGCCTTCACCGATACTAACTTGCCCCTGAACGGGGCTAACTCGGTCACTGGAGAATCTATAGTGTTGTTTTCGGACAGCGACGCTAAAAACCCTGTTGCCTGTGCAAAGATTGTCCACTTACAACCCAAAACACAGGAAGCTTCGTTCAAGGCGGATGTCAATGAGGGTGTGAGTGGTAAATTTAAGTTTACTCAGTTGTCTCCTTTTGATCCTACAACAACAGAAATCAACCTGAGTGGCCTTCAGAACAAGGCTGAAGGGTATCACGTGCACGCATACCCCAGTCCGTCGTATAAGCATTTAACACCGAGTGAAGCATGCGCTGGCCTCATTGCTGGAGATCACTGGAATCCTTTCAACATTGATATTAACACAAGCCCTGCAGCAGGCACAGGTGAACATTAATTTGTCCTTTCCGTCTTATTGTTATTGCTGTTGTTTTATTCAGAATTAGATTTCAAGCTGTCGTTGCTGACGTTTTAATCCTCATACATGTAACTTGACAGCTTTCAGCACAACTGATGCCGGGGGGGGGGGAGAATCCCATATAACAAGGACAGGGGTGATCTTCGTAACTTTTAGGCGTTAAAAAAGCGGTTTTGGTACCTCTTAGGGTGTTCAGCCTCAAAACTTCCACAGCGGGAGCTTACGCGGTACCTTTCAGGGTTTTGCGCCGAAAAAAAAAATCGATTTCCTTTACTGTTTCGTTTATAATGAGCAACTTAAACTAAACAGGATAGATATTTCTGACAATACTTTCAAACTTTACGAGTAGTGGGTAATCAAAGCAATCGTCGTTATTGCGTTTAAAAATTATGAAAGTGTCAGTTGATGTGCTGTTTTAGAAGTGGTGCCTCTTAGAGGTGGAAAAATTTCAAGCCACGCCCACAAAACAGGATCTTGGTACTCACTTAGGGGTTCTTTTTAAAATTTCCGACGAGCACGTCACCCCCGTCCTTTTTATATGGGAGTCCCCCCGGTGTTGATGCTGTTTGACATCGTTGGTGGAAAGGGCGTGAGCTGTTGATGGGTGAATGCATTATGATGTCCCAAGGCTACATCACGTGAAAAATAGTCTTCGCTGACGCTGGTCACCCTAACCTGAGTGCGAGGGAATTTTAGGAGGGTGAAACAGTCATCAAAACGATATTTTTTACTAAAAGCTTGGATTCGTCCTCTTCCGATGAAACATAGCGGGTCTTAAAACGTTGAATCTTTTAATTCCTTTTTTCATCCAAGTTTGCGTTCTTGGGCAGGACAATTTCCTATCAAAATGCCTCACTCCACTGAGATGTATAAATGCGTACAGGTGCAGTGTATAAATTCTGGGTGGTGGGGGAGGGGGTGGTGGTAACCCTAAGATGGACTAGCATCCCATCCAAGAGTAGCCTGTGAATACAGCTGCCTCTCTTCGCTCGCTAAGTTACGTTCAAAGTAGGCTAAACATAAAACCAACATAAGCTTAAATGATCTTTTATTTTTATGAAAACAAAGAAAATTGTGATGAAATTCTAAAGAGCGTGAAGCCTTGGTAAAAACGGTCTTTAATGTCAGTCTTGTCTGTGATAACAAATCCGCCAATTTCGCCGCGCTTCGTTTGAACTTGTTGGGCGACATGGCCCACGCAATTCTTGCTGGCGGTAATGAAGGGCTGGATTATTCTATCTATTTAAAATTTGATTGGATGATAAACACCAGCCTTTTTTACTTTTATTATAAGACAGATTTCACTGGAATCTTTTACACCTGTACTCGTCTTTCGAATGTAAAAGCGATATCAGCGTTTACGTCTAGCTGAGTACGCGAAACACTAGATAATCTGAATCAGTTGCAAAAACGGACAAGAACGGACTTGGCCGTTCGAAGATTTTAAAATCATCTCTGCTTAACTCTCTTCCACAGGAACAGACGATGAATATGAAATCGGTGACTTGAGTGGAAAGTATGGGTCTTTCCTAAACCTCACGACCTACAACGAAGAACACACGGATTACAATCTACCGCTATTTGGCGTAAACAGCATCCAGGGTCGCTCTGTTGTCATCCATTTACAGAAGATAAAGGACGCAAATAAGCGGTGGGTTTGCAGCAACCTCGTACCTGTTGTCGAACCGCAGACCACTTTCGTCATGAAAGCCACCGCGAATTTCACTGGACCTACACTGACAGGAGTTGTTTTAGTGGTAAGTTAGATCGATAGCATCCAACTTGTTTGACCAAGTTACATTTCCTGTCATTTCGTTGGTTAGAAACGACAANTTTGTGCTGCCTGTGGATAAATAACAAACATTAGGACATATTGAACACTATTTTGTCACTAGAAGCGAAAAAAGTGAGTCACGTGTTAGAAGAAAAGTACTCAGTCTGCACAGTCTGCACGGTCTGCAGTCTACATGGTCTGCGTTTTGGGGTGACCGAATCAGGGATTCTGGTCTCACGTAGGGTGTTGAAGACGAAGAATCACGATTTTTAGCTTTCAAATTTTCTTTTAGGATGCACTCGAAAAAATAATAATAAGCTAATAATCGAACCTTTTCCGTTTTAAGTGGTATCTTTTAGGGGTTAAATAAAGCCTGGGCCACGCCCAGATTGGTCTCCTTTAGGGGTTTAATTCAAATTTTCCGACGAGCATCCCAGACCTTTTCATATAGGAGCCCCTCCCCCCCGAGTACAAGACCCGCCGGGCTACAACATAACCAGTCTCACCGGCAATTTTGTTGTCTGAAAGACAAACAATAACAATAACTTTATTTACTCGTACATTTACGGTTTTTTTTTTATACATATCAGTGAAATGTAAAGACAAAGAAAAAAAAAGTGTACTATATGAGTCTGGAGACTGAAGTAACGAAGGGTTTTCTAGTCAGCCTCCAGTTATTATGTTTCTATGGAGATTTAAGAGAAAAAAAACTATTAAGAGAAGGAGATATGTACATAAAATTGGAAAAAAGGAGCATATAGAAATATTACTTACTTTCAGAATGTTGTTCAGACAGTAAATAAAGTTTCAGATGTTTCGAGAAGTTGAAGGTGAAAGAGGCGGGAGCATTGTGGAATAGTGTAATGTGAGGAACGCTGGGCTCATTGAATCACTGCGATTGTTTGTCTATGCTTTCTCTACTTAGGATCAGTATTTTTCCAGCAAGCCCAATACCGCCGGTGAAGAGACCTCGATTTACATCGACATCACGTACACTGTAGCCCCGAACACCGAAACAGTAAGATATTTTACAGCACTGTTATATTATTACGGTATATTTATTGGACTCCGACTGTCGTATGTTCCAAATGGAGTGGTTGATAATGCGGGTAATAATTTTCCTTATTACACGACTAACTTACTTCAAGGGCCAATATTAATATCGACCAATGAGACTGCTCCATTACCGGTCCAATATTCCCTAAATACAGTGGAACCCCACCTTACGGTCAACTCGTTAATGCCACTTTTTTGTCCCGGCGAAACGCCCATACATTTTCTCAAGCCCCGTAAATACGACCAACGGCCACATTCTGAAATCCCAACCTGAATAATCCTTTATAATTCTACCCCGTTTATACGGCCACTCGAACCAGGTATGTTCATCTTTCCATAGTTAATATTGTATGTATTGATTGAAGTTTTATTATTATTTTTTTAAATTATATCTGCGTTCCCGATGCTTATAAGAGAACAGTTGTTTTCAAGTGTAGTTGTTATATATCTGTTGAGAATTCACTAAATTTCGACCGGTCATCGATGAAATTTGACCCTACCCCGTTAATACGACCAAATTTTCATGGCCCGTTGGTGACCGTAGTAACGGGGTTTTACTGTATTGGACGGGGCACTGTCCCGAATGATCCCTCGCCGCCACTATTAACGTTTTGTTTGGTTGTTTTGTCGCTTACTTAGTGTCCAAAAATAAACCCGTTACCCTTGACAAATAATATTTCTCTTTCTTTTCATCCTCTTTTCCTTGTTGTCCTTTGAGAACTTCAAACGNTTATTAGACTCCGACTGTTGTATCTTCCAAATGGAGTGGTTGATAATGCGGGTAATAATTTTCCTTATTACACGACTAAGTTACTTCAAGGGTCAATATTAATATCGACCAATGAGACTGCTCCATTACCGGTCCAATATTCCCTAAATACAGTGGAACCCTGCCTTACGGTCAACTCGTTAATGCTACTTTTTCGTCCCGGCGAAACGCCCATACATTTTCTCATACGAAAGCCCGTAAATACGGCCAACGGCCACATTCTGAAATCCCAACCTGAATAATCCTTTATAATTCTACCCCGTTTATACGGCCACTCGAACCAGGTATTTTCATCTTTCCATAGTTAATATTGTATGTATTGATTGAAGTTTTATTATTACTTTTTTTTAATTATATCTGCGTTCCCGATGCTTATAAGAGAACAGTTGTTTACAAGTGCAGCTGTTATATATCTGTTGAGAATTCACTCAATTTCGACCGGTCATCGATGAAATTTGACCCTACCCCGTTAATACGGCCAAATTTTCATGGCCCGTTGGTGGCCGTCGTAACGGGGTTTTATTGTATTGGACGGGGCACTGTCCCGAATGATCCCTCGCCGCCACTATTAACGTTTTGTTTGGTTGTTTTGTCGCTTACTTAGTGTCCCAAAAGAAACCCGTTACCCTTGACAAATATTTCTCTTTCTTTTCATTCTCTTTTCCTTGTTGTCCTTTGAGAACTTCAAACGTGAGTAAACCCTAAGTCAAATCTCAGAATTGGGGGCTGGAAGTTTACGGTGTCTTTCCAGTGATCGCGATCCGGCATGGGTTTTTGATCATTTTCACTCATATAATAAATCTGTTATCAACCAATCTTGCTCGGGACCTTATTGGGAGAATATCGCCCCTTGGTCTTTTCAATACGGATCTCGCTGCGCTCGGTTCGTGTTGTCAAAACCTCGGGCTGATATTCTCCCAAAACGGCCCTCGCGCTTGGTTAATAAGTAGTTAATCAGTATATATCGTTTCTTTAAACAGACTGGTCACAAGTGGGACGTACATGACAGTCCAGTGGGTGGAGACGCACGTGCGGCAGACCTCAACAAGAGATGCCTGAGTTTGGGGAGAAATTTTAATCCGTACGGGGTTAATACTCAGGTGGGAACATATAATTTTTTAAACACGTGTATCCGGCTTTAATCTTGTAGCTATTTGGTGAAAGTCCGAAGGATGCCTACTACTTACAATCTTTAATCGTGTAACACGCAACAGAGGTCGAGCGAATGATTTTAAGCTTATAGTTTTGGTGAATTTATCACTCCGGTTGACATTTTGCTTTCCATGTTTCTCCAGCCAGCTGGGCGTTTACATTGACAATTAATTACCGCGCTTTGTAGTATATTTTTAAGAAGCTCTAGTCATGTATTAACTTTTCTTATTACATATTTGATTTCGCATCTTTCTGCCTATTTAGGGAAGTTACTCCACCGCCTGCAGACCAACTAACATGCTTCGTTGTGAATCAGGAGACTTATCTGGTAAACACAATACTTTTACGGTGGGCGGTCGCCGGCAGTTCTTCAATGATGTCAACCTTCCATTATTCGGCAGAAACTCTGGTAATGATAATACTCTAACAAACAAATTCTTTTTTCTTTCTTTCTGTCTTGGCTTCTTTTTGACACTATCTTTGTCTCAGACCAGATAAACGCGGCCTTGAACGTATTATTGAGCCGTTGGCCTTTTCAGGCTTGTACATCCTGCACCTTATGAAAGGTGCTTTAGCCAAATAATTGGCGTGTTGAACGTCTCGATCAAACTGTCCGAGCCCTGTCCAGCTGCCTACTTTCCGTAACAAACTTTGGAGGGGTTACCCTTCACCTTGTGGTTAAACAGGCTTATAGCTACTCTTGCTGATCTCAAAACGTTGCTACGGTACGTTTTATATTATATGTCTTTTTATTTACCAGTCGTTGGTCATGGCATCGCAGTGAACGATAAACTTGGACGAAATGGTCGTCTTGGTTGCGCAAATATCACGGCTGACTCGTCTCTGTTTGTAGAGAAATCCCTGGAGTACAAAAAAGAGAATGACTTTTCCAGGTAAATTATATAACATCAACGCGGTATTAAATATTACATTGCATAGGTTGCATTAAAACTGAGCGCGCTGGTACAACAGTTAAAATTCTACCATATTAGCAAAATCGAAATGTGGGCTGTGCAGTATCTGAAACGCGTATACTTATGTACTGGCAGAGGAAACAAGCAGTCTTTGCAACCAATCAGGAGGAAGACAAATTCTCGGATGCATGGTTTCCCGCGCTGAGCACTGCTGCATGTTTTTCGAGTTGTTTCGTTTATCATGATTGCATTCTTCGCGTTTCCACCTGTAATTGGTTCGACCTTACAACAGTCATTACAACACCGCTGACCGCAACTGACATAATAGATTTTCTGTGCGAAAAACGGCTCTTTGTGATTTATCAAATTTGCTCATTCCTTTTCAGTGCTCATTTTGTCGACACCATGTCTAAAGCCTTAGAAATTCCAAAGTGGCGACTTTTCAACATTCGGACAGAGAAGGGCGACGAGGAGGGATGTCTGATAGTCAAGTTTGGCATCATTGGCAAAGGTAATTCCGCCCTTCCCCGCCAATAGCACTGTGGTTTACTCCTTCTGTAATCATTTATGGAATATCAAACTGGCAAGCATGTGACAAGTCGTGTGGTAGTGCAGTACTGTATTCGTGAACCTTAATTCCCTTACACACTCTCCATATAACGTTTCTCGTTTGGGTTAGATTGCACCTCATTCTGGTAGACTAGAAAGAGATTCCCAGTAGAAAAAGCTTCGTACTAGCAGGCAATAGCTGTAGACGCGAGTTTCTTTATGGTTTTCGCTTCCATATTGTCTACTACTGTCTACTGGCGATCCACACAGTGCGACTGTGATTCTCCTGCGTTAGCTTCTGTAAAATGAGGGGGTGACTGACCCCCAACAGTACTGCCAGAGCCCCTATTTGCCAGTTTGTTCAGGGTTCCTGCCAGGATTACTGCACTTCCTCCTGACAGGCAGTCCCCTACTCCACTGTTGCCCACCTCCCACGAACGAGGACGTTGGGGGATGGACTTTGGGAGGTAACATTAAGAATGCTGCTTTTCTGTGTTGACCTAACACGTACCAAAGCTCTGCTGTAAATAAGGCTAAGAAGGTAGACTAGGAGTAGTTTTTGTTCCTGAAATCCTGCGCGCGCGAGACTGAGTTAAGATTATGCAAATTAGGAAAAGAAACGATCGATCATCGCACGCTTGAAAGTCGTCTCACGCTAGGAAAGAAAGAGACTGCTGGCAGTCTTCAAAGAAGGGTACTTTTCCACTACGCTTAGTATCTTGCCCTTCAAACGAGATTGTGAACAGCTGACTCACTAACAGGAATTACACGCAGACTAAAGTTTATGTTTCTCGTTCACCTGGCTTTTGCCCGCTTCTCAGAATTTGAAAGATTGAATCAGGCTAAATAAATATGTTGCAAATTGCAACATGATTAAACAAAACTAAATACCGTCTGCAGCTATTATGAACTGCTGCTTGTAGTGTAATTTATGGCAGTCTGGAGATTATGTAGAATTTTAAACGCCTTCATTGAACCAAGAAGCGAGTGTATGCTTTGTTCGAGGGGTCTAAAGGCTCCGTTTCACAGGAGTCTTCTAATTCTTGCTTGACAACTGAAGATGGTCCCATACACTGGAATGTCTTGTTTTAGATTTTTTTTTTTACGTATTTTTACAGCGGATCAATCTAGTCAACCTGTGAAGAAATTTGATGATATCCTATCAAACAAGCCAGAAGACCTCAAAGAGTATCGCCCGAGCAAGGACTGCGGTAAGAATAGTCAGAGTATTTCTTGTAAAAACATAACAGTTGTGATAGAGGCGGGGTGGGGTGGGGGCCGGTTTAGGCAAAATCATTTTCTGCTTGCACTCATTGCAGTGATGATGTTCTCTATTTCCAGAGCCGGAGACTACTGGATCAGGTGGCCATCTCGTGAACTCCTTCCTATTGGTCGCTGTTGCTATGGCAACAAGTGTCATGAAAGCACTGCGACTGATTTGAGTTCAAATTTACAAACTTTGACGATGGTTAACCACTGAAGAAGTCACGTTTCTGCCTAGTTCCAAAGATCCGTAGAATTTTTTTTGAGAGTTCGCGTATGTTTTTAGTTAGATTATGCAATTTGCCAAACATGCTGTGTTAAAATGTTAAAAAGCTATTGCACTATTTTTCATTTTTTCTTCTCACACCTTGATGTTGAATTCTATTCGGGATAGTCACCGCTGACACAAGCAGATTGACGGCGCGTCTAAATAAGAAAGTAAAGGTGTGAGGCAAGACAGAATAGACGAGTGTTAAATCTTCTGTTGCCGTAATGAAATTAGAAAGGAATTTGTGAAACAAAGAAGGCATTAGTTGCTGGCAACCTAATTAGATTAATGCGAATTGATGTGGTGCTAATAAAGAAACTCCACTCTCATTGTGTCATACGAAACTTCATCTGGGACCCGACTACCGTATTTTCCATGGATATTGATGACGTCATTTCGCGATTTTTCACGGTTGTTTCTGCTAGTAGTCAGTTTATCTATATAATAAAAAGAAAATTACACGGTAGCGTCAAGATATGAATTTTATTTTTTCGCCGTTTAATATCCTCTATTTAATATTAGTATAAATCTACTAGCGTTCTATCACGAATGACGTTGTCTGATTGACTAAGCCACTCACTGTCTATTCTGTTGTAGATAATGAGTAGCGTAGCTATGACCGCTTGTTAACAAACTGGTGGCCGCTTTGCGTTTTCGAAGTTTCTGTGAAGAGGATTTATTTAGATGAAGTTTTGAACGACTAGTAGATTCACACTAAAACAATTAGATTATTCGCTCTCGATTTCTATGCGTGATAGTTGACTCGGGCTGCGCCCTCGTTAGCTATCACGCGATAGAAATCTCGAGCTCATAATCTAATTGTTTATTAGTATAAAACTACTGGTGTTCTATCATGAATGCTGTTTGCTGATTGGCTTCGCTACTCTCTATCTGTTTTGTTGTAGATAGTGAGTACCCTCCCCAACAATGTGCGCCAGGGTCAGAGCCACCTTAAATTTTCGAAAATTTAAGGTGGCTCAGAACAGAAATTTTTTAAACTTCGCCAAAAGTTGCGTCTTTTCATGCTTGCCAAAAGTTGATAATGTAAAAAAAATTTCACCGTGCCGTTTTTGAATTATAAGCCCCTAAAGCTGTAATTAAGGGTGTTTTTAGGAGGTCATACTGTTGCTATGGTAACCCATTGTGTCACGAAAATGATAACGTGTTCACCAATGATTGGGCAATTTTTTGATACCATGATTGTAGCATCAAGTCCTAAAGAGTGCTTATAACGACCCATCAAAATCGAAGTGTAGGAAACTGTTTTGAGCCACCCTTAAGTTCAAAGTCTGACGGTGTTAATGGCATATAAAAACCTTGCAGACATGTCTTCACGAAATGTGTACGACTTTTCGTACGAACAGAAAGCTATGGTTTGGCTGCGTGTTGTGTACCCTCTTCTCCTTTTAATTCGACCAAACCCAGCGCTGCTTTCTGCTGAATAAATCAAAGGAGGAAATGTGTACGCTAGCCTAGATTTCTGTGCGCAAATTAAACAAGCTGCCTAAGACTGTCAACTTTATTGTCAATTTTCACTCGTGAATTTGTGCGGTCGGGAATCTTTATGCGATATAAGGCGAGATTTCTGTCATCATTCTGTTAGCGAACGGGACTTTGGGCGCGATGCCCAACGAGTTTGCCAAGCAGACAGGTCTCTGATGAGTCCCTTGGCCGGGACGAAACGAACTGCGTAAGACTAGCCACGAACAATGTATTATCACAAGTAACTGTCANTGAACTTTGCGTGACAATGAAATATGAACTACTTGAACATTGAACTATTATGTAATCCATTGTACATGTATTGTGATCGAGAGACGCGAAATAACCAGAGCGGATCAGAGAGAATAAAGGAGAATCAAGGTGAAACCAGAGTGATTGTTTGCCGTTAAACCATTTACGAAAATGAACGTGTTGAGTTGCGGGTCAAAAACATCCAAAATTTCAGGAATTTCGGACACCATTTCCCCCTTGCGACATCAACAAAAATCCTCGCAGCACGTACGCGCGTGTGCCGCATGCGATGGCGCAATTTGTTCTAAAAATAGAAAAACTGTCCCATATCATAGGGACAGCCCCAACACTAGAAATAGCGCGCGCTTACGGTCTCCGTCCCCGTTTATGGCCCCTGGGGGTCTTAGGGGTCTTTGTTTTCAAGACACCCCCAGTTATCCCGTATGTAATGTCTAGCCCAAAAGAGTTGCCGACGAGGCGCCGGACGCGATGAGGATATTTCGTTGGGATTTCTGAGTTGCTAGTTAGAAGAGTGTATAGAAAACCATCTAGTTCTGCTGGAAGATTGATTGTACTCTCACATAGTTAAGAAGATTTCGGTGGCCATGCCATTTCAGTGTTACTTGAAAGAACTGCATCACAGATGTACAGTCCAGCTTGCTATATTTCCTTGATTTTAGATGGAGTCAGCCCTGTTGTCGAATTAACTGAGATAACGTTACCATCTCTTTGGCCAGTAGAGCCTTTCAAAGACTTTTGGGAAGAAAAAAACTTTATTATTGTTCGGGAGATCTTCAAATTGTCACAAGTCGCCGAAATCGTTTTCTAACTTTCTTCGGAAATGTCTTTTTCGTTTATTCGGATAAATAGCGCCCATTGATAGCATGGAGATCATTGCTTCTCTCTCAGTTCAACCATCTTAATAAGTCTGGGATTTAATAAATCTGATCAAATAAACTCAAACAGTTTGTCATAAGCTCGAGACTCTATACTCTAATTGGTTTCATCCGAGTCCGATTCACCTTTCCAAGTCACTGTACTTGCTTGCTTTATCTGGTCAGGTGTAATCTCAATAGCACGGACCACGGTAACATACTTCAGCTGCTACCAAATTACGAGAGGCAAGGCCAAAAATCCTGCTATCACCCGCAACAATAGCAGCTTTTCTAATCGTGGCATCTAAACAAAAGTCAACCTACAGAGTCAGAGGATCGCGTGTTCTTGTAGCTTTTTATATGCAGTCTTATTTTCGAAAAAAGTGCATATTTTCGAGCAAGTTCTTCTCATGCTTGGCTCTTGCCGACGAGGTCTTTGCTCTTTGCCTTCTAAATTAAACTCAGAAATCTGTTTCGCAGCCGTTGTTTCAGAAATGCTCTCGAAGTCTCGCTATAATGTAAAAAGACTAAGGCATTTCCTGTGATAACCGACTTGGGGAATTTCTCCTTCCTTGGCATTCTCTTCCAAATCAAGCAATGGCCTATGACTTTTAATCGTAGCTGCCTTCAAAGAGTCGAGATGTTTTTTTAAAATAGGGCCAATTAGCAGGCGTTCATCATATGAGCAGTGAATAATAAAAATTTTAAACGGAGGTCGTTCAGTTTGGTTTGTTGGAATAAAACAACAATTGAAACTGTACATAGGAGTCAAGTTTCGTTGCGAGCTTTAGCAGTCAATCATTCAGTGAGTATAAAAATACTAGGTGTTGCCTGTTTCTCTATATTACTTGATAAAAAGCGTCCAAACTGCGAAAATTTGGCGAGAACTTTGATGTATTTACCAGGCCTGCGAGGCCGTCATCTTAGGCCTTACCCGTGATGCTTTTCGAGTTTCAGCTGCATAGTTTCATTTAAGTTTTTCTTTCTCAAATCAAGTAATAAATTTTAGTTTTTGACCAAAAATGTTAAGAGAAGCTGTTTACTGTAAAATGTAGTGATTTATTAATATTATAAATAAAAAACGCATTTAAAGTAACTGTTTTAGTGTGAGCCTCGTTTCCATGTGACAGAAATACTTTTGAAAAAAGGAAGTACTGAAAGCTACTCTTTCACGATCGCCATGAAGTAAATTTAAAAAGTCCTTCATACAACCTCTCATCAGATATCACTCACATTTTCTCCCCCTGAGTGGTACCGACAACCTGCCCTGGCCCATGGACTAACTCTATTTATGACCTGACCAAAACTTCGATGAATTTTCAAAACCTGATTTAGCTTAATTTTTTCATTTATTTCGTTATTTACTAAATGAAGTAGTTTCCGTATCAAAATCCTGGTTTCTTTATTAAGCTGGCTCTCAGCATAAACGTCACAAACTCATTTTATTTAAGACTAAAGCACACAATTTAAAGGCAAAAGAACAATGTCATATCTAAACTGTAAAATATTTTATAGACACGAGTTATATTCCGAAAAATACACCACTTCTTAAATTTATAAGACATTACATCCGGGACCCGAATGGCGTATTTTCCATATCCACACCGGTGAGGATTTCGATGACGCCACTTCCGGCTTTTTTATGGTTGTTTTAGCAAACAGTCAGTTTGCCCATATAATAAAAAGAAAATTACACGGTGGCTCGAAGACATGAATTTCATTTTCTCGTGTCAAAATCAATATTCTACTCCCTAGCGGCTCTCATTCGTAAAATATTGTTTTTACCACGTGACCACTCGAAAATATAATTGATATCTTCGCGCTGTCGTGCGATATCGTTAATCTCTAGTTCAAATTGAAAAAACCTTGTACTCAAGCAAGTAGTCAAAAGTCTCGCAATAAGAGTCAAATATTGGAAGAAAGACAGGTGTCATCATGTCACGCTATTCATCATCGGTCCTCATTGCGTCATGGTACGCATAGGGCCTTCAGTCTCTCTCCTGCGTGAACAATCTTGTGTCACCTTCCGGATTTCCCCCCAGGTCAGGTCTATGGATTTTAGTCCTTTCTCTGCTGACCTCCTACAGGTTTAGGCCTCCCCCCTTGTCTTTTCCCCTCTGGTGTAAAAACAGACCTTCTAAAGCAACGTCGGTAGGGTCTTTTCTTAATACATGTCCGGGTTACGCTCACCATGATGTTCTCTTGTTTACAGATGTTGCGCACTTCAAAGTTCGTTATTTTCCGTGGCCATCTTATACCCAGTATAAAGCGAAGGCATCTATTAATAAACTAGGGTATCTAAAAGATAGTAATGCTGCGGCACATTCTGTTGATAGTGACATATTTAACGCCGTGATTCATTTATCTGCGCGTTCCAAGACTTAAATTAACTGTTATTTCTCAAAGTAGTGTCAAATCGTGGTGTCACTTAAAATCTGTCGTTGTATGCATCAAC